GAGGCAGACTCAGCACGGTTTCTGTAAGGGAAGATCTTGTCTCACTAACCTGTTAGTGTTCTTTGAGGGGGTGAACAAACATGTGGACAAGGGGGATCCAATAGATATTATTTACCTTGACTTCCAGAAAGCTTTTGATAAAGTTCCTCATCAAAGGCTCCTAAGTAAGCTCAAAAATCATGGGATAGAAGGACAAGTCCTTTTATGGATCAAAAACTGGCTAGTTCATAGAAAACAGAGAGTGAGTGTAGGTGGGCAATTTTCTCAGTGGAGGGTGGTAAGCAGTGGGGTACCGCAGGGATCAGTACTTGGTCCACTGCTTTTTAACTTGTTCATTAATGATTTGGAGATGGGAGTAAGCAGTGAAGTGGCTAAATTTGCGGATGATACAAAGTTGTTCAGGGTGGTGAAAACCAGTGAGGATTGTGAGGCACTCCAAGGGGATCTGTCAAGGATGGGCGAGTGGGCGTCAACATGGCAAATGGGGTTCAATGTGGCCAAGTGCAAGGTGATGCACATTGGAGCCAAAAATCCTAAATATAAATACACATTGATGGGGTCTGAACTGGCAGAGACTGAGCAAGAGAGAGATCTTGGAGTTGTAGTGGATAACTCACTGAAAATGTCGAGACAGTGTGTGACTGCAATAAAGAAGGCCAATGCTATGCTGGGGATTATTAGGAAGGGTATTGAAAACAGATCAGCCAATATAATAATGCCCCTATATAAATCAATGGTGAGACCTCATTTGGAATACTGTGTGCAGTTCTGGGCACCACACCTTAAAAAGGATATTATAGCTTTGGAAAAAGTGCAGAAAAGGGCAACTCGAATGATAAAAGGGTTGGAACACTTTCCCTATGAGGAAAGGTTAAAGCGCTTAGGGCTCTTTAGCTTGGAGAAAAGACGACTGAGGGGTGACATGATCGAGGTTTATAAGATTATGCATGGGAAAGAGCAGGTAAAGAAAGAGGTACTTTTCTCCCTTTCTCACAATACAAGAACTCGTGGGCACTCCATGAAACTGCAGAGCGGTCGGGTTAGAACGGATAAAAGGAAGTACTTCTTCACCCAAAGAGTGATTAACACATGGAATTCACTGCCACAGGAAGTGGTGGGTGCTACAAGCATGGACGGCTTCAAAAGGGAATTAGATAAGCATATGGAGCAGAGGTCCATCAGTGGCTATTAGCCACAAGGTATAGCTAGGGGCTCTGGGGCAAGTGATGCTCTGTCTTCTTGGTGCTTGGGGGGGGGGTCAACAGTGGGAGGGCTTCTAATGTCCTGGCCCCACTGCTGGACCTCCTGATGGTACTGGTATTTCTGGCCACTGTGTGACACAGAGTGTTGGACTGGATGGGCCTTTGGCCTGATCCAACATTGGCGTCTCTTATGTTCTTATGTTAACCCTGAGTCTGTAGCCCCAACTGAGGCACCTTTATTTAGGAGAAGGGCCTCTTGGGTGGTGTGCCACGGAGAACCCCGATGGGGGATCTCTTGATGTCCCGGACTCAGCAACTCCCAGTGTCCCCTCTAAGCTGAATTAGTGTGAGCTAGCTCACAGTTCTTTAGCCTCCAGCTCACACATTCTTGTCTTAGCTCAGGAAGGAGGGCTCCAGAGCAAACTCATTCATACAGTAGCCAAATCGCTCGCTCACAGCTTTAATGCCAGGAGCTCACAAAGTAGAATTTTCGCTCACAAGACACCACGGCTTAGAGGGAACATTGGCAGTTAACCTAAGCCCACCCTCTCTGTTCCTGGAGAGTCCCCACCAGGAAATGCAGAATTGCAGAGCCTCAAGACAATGTCTTGGAACAGCAGAAGTCATGAGCAGCATTCCCTCTAAGCTGTTAGTGTGAGTTAGCTCACAGTTTTTTAGCCTCCGTCTCGCACATTTTTGTCTTCGCTCAGGAAGGGATGGCTCCAGAGCAAACTAATTTATGCAGTAGCTAAAGCGCTCACTCACAACTTTAATGCCAGTAGCTCACAAAGCAGACTTTGAATTTGAAAGCAGAATTTTTGCACAACAGACTCCACAGCTTAGAGGGAGCGATGGCAGTGAGCTATATCAGAGAGTGAGTTTGTAGGATTTAAAATATTTATATATGCTTGTTTGCAGAAGCAAGATGTGTGTGTGGTAAGGTTGCCAGCTGCAGGTCGGGAAATACCTGGAGATTTTGAGAGTGGAGCCCGAGGAGGGTGAGTGCATAATGCCACAGAGTCCAACATCTCTGTCACCTGGAGATCCGTTGTAATAGTGGGGGATCTCCAGCTATCGCCTGGAGACTAACAACAACAAAAAAGGAGGTGAACCAGTGTACATGAAATGGTACAAAATGCAAAAAACAGCTGGCTGGAATCACACAGGTAAACAAAAAAGTATATGAAATAATAATATCTATAATGCCAAGTTCAATAACACAATAACCATGTAACAGGATAAAGCCAAGGTATTCATACAAGAAGCAACAGTAGTGCAGAGAAAATTCAATGTGTCTCACACCTGTTGTATTGTAATTCCATAGTCTAACTTGACATACATTCATCACAGAGTGGACTCATATAGTTCCTGGAAATTCCTTATAATCTTGAAATCCAGAAGCCATAGAGACGCGTAATCCGGATGCAAGCTGCCGCGTTTCGAATAATTCTTCTTCCAAACCAATAGGCTGCAGTGGGACCCAATCTCAGTAGTAGCCCATACAGAAGCCAGTTTATTTCTCTTTCAAGACACATTGAAATTTTGGGGACTTTATTTCTCTGCATCACTGTTGCTTTTTGTATGAAATAAACTGGCTGGACTCCTCTCCACTTTGTTGCGCAGAACAGGGACGACAGAATCGCACACTTCTCGACCACAAGGCTTTATCCTATTACATGGTGATTGTGTTATTGAACTCGGCATTATGGATATTATTATCTTCATGTACTTTTTTGTTTACCTTTGTGATTTCAGCCAGCCATTTTTTTGCATTTTGTACCATCACCTGGAGGCTAGCAACCAGGGGTCATTTCGTAGAAAAAGAGCTAGGGGAACTCATTAGCATAACTCATTAGCATATGACACACCCCCTGACATCACCGGAAGTGTGTCATAAGGCCACACACCCCACTCCCAACGGTCCCGTCCGCCGCCACCGGCCTTGCAGCTCCACTGCCGAGCCCCATGAGGGGCCCGGCGGTGGACCTGCAAGGCCGGCGGGAGTGCAAGGAAGCCCCGCGAAGGCCCTCCCTGGCCCCAGGCAGGCAGGGGTGGGGAGAGGCAGGGAGGAAGCAACTTACCCTCCCTCTTCTCCTGCCTCCTCCTGGCTGAATGAGGGCCGGAAGCGGGGCGGCCGGAAGCAGGGGGCGGGGCTTCGTCATGTGCCCCGCCCCCCATACCTCACCTGGGGGAACTGCATTCCCCCGCGTTCCCCCCCCCCAAAAAAAATGACCTTTGCTAGCAACCCTAGTGTATGTGGGGGTTACATTCAGTGTTCCCTCTAAGCTGAGTTAGTATGAGCTAGCTCACAGTTTTTTAGCCTCTGGCTCACACATTTTTGTCTCAGCTCAGGAAGGATGGCTCCAGAGCAGACTAATTTATGCAGTAGCCAAACTGCTCTGTCACAACTTTAAAGCCAGTAGCTCACAAAGTAGAATTTTTGCTCACAAGACTCCACAGCTTAGAGGGAGCCTTGGTTATATTCCTAAAATCCATGTCCCAGCACTCACACACTCATACCTCCCCCCAACAACCAGTCAACCAGGAGAGGTCTATCTCTCTGCAACGCATCCCCCCTTTAATGTTCTGCTTTTGACAGCTTATCCGTAGTCAAAGAGCTTAAGGCCCAGCAAGAAATTCAGAGCAGTTTCCACTTCAAAATGATGACATTTTAATTAGGGGGGAGGCTGCCCTGTTCCGTCTCTGGTTCAAATCGGGACACAGGAGCTGCGAATCACACCTCCTGCTGTGCCAGTAATCCCCTCTGTCGGTACCCTCCGGCCACATCTGCTCCTCCTCAGAAATGCAGGGAAAGGAGGACACCAGGAAGGGGAGTCCAGGAAATTGGGTTGTTGGGAAGAGGGGAAGAAGAAGAAGAGGAAAAAGAGGAGGAAGAAGAGGAGGAGGAGATCAGATTTAGAAAAAGAAGAAGAGAAGAGATTGGATTTATACCCCACCCTTCACTACCCAAAGGAGTCTCAGAGCGGCTTACAAACTCCTTTCCTTTCCCCTCCCCACAACAGGCACCCTGTGAGGGAGGTGGGGCTGAGAGAGCTCTTTACAGAAACTGCTCTTTTTCAAGGACAGCTCTTAGAATTATGGCTTGCCCAAGGTCATCCAGCAGCTGCAAGTGGAGGAGTGGGGAATCAAACCCTGGTTCTCCCAGATTAGAGTCCGCACACTTAGCTGTATGGCAGTATACTCCACTGAGGTTTCTCCCCTTCCCAAACCCCGCCCACACGCCCTAGGCTCCATCCCCAAAGTCTCCAGGAATTTCCCAACTCAGTGCTGGAAACCGTACTCTCGGTCCAGCACATTCCCTGTTACTGGGGGTGGGGGGTGAGTGGAGGCAGGCAGTGGAGGGGGGGAGGAGAGCTAGTGGTGATAGAAAAGAGGCAGCAGGCCCACCGAGGGGGGGGACCCACCTGAGGGTCTTCTGCCCAAGGCCTCTCTGAACCCCCAGACCCTGCTTTACAAAGAGAAACTCCCAAGTTCATTCTCCAGCTGGAAGAAGTTGAAGTGTCCGCAGGGCCAGGAAGTGCCTCTTTGGACCTGAAAGCTATCTTAGCCAGCTGCTACCAGCAGATGGATGCAGCACACAAAAGTCTCACGTGTTCACCTGCAGTACAGGGAGGATAACAATACCGACCTATCATTACTGATGTAAAGGGTTCCTGGAATAATGTACACAAAGAGCTTCTGAACACCCTAAATGCCATTATTGTTATTACTACCACGCAATATCATTTTGCCACCCACAGGAAGGCGCTCCCGCAGCCAACCAGGATAGCCTCCCTCCCCCCCTTCCTCCCGTCTCAGCGACATCCATAAACAAAGGGGCGAGGGTCTCATTCCTAGCACAGCCCCTGCAAAAACACTGGCATGAACCATGGGATAACTGTCCATGTGAAGTCTTACAGACCGAGCTTAGAAAAAGAGCTCTTTCTGGCCGGCTTCCGGGGATCCCTCCCCTAGCAGCAAGTCCACAATGTCTTGCGTTTGACTCCTGATGGCAAGTTGGAGGGGCGTGCAACCTGCCTTATCCTCCACCTCCAGCAGAGCACCAGCTCGGAGCAACGTCTTTAAGATGGGCACGTTCCCTTTGAGCACCGCCAGGTGTGTGGGCGTCCAGCCCACCTTGTTCTTGCTGTTGACATTGGCCTTGTACTCCAGGAGACTCTCAATGCCAGGCAAGGTGCCCCGCTGCACTGCCAAATGCAGAGGAGTCCAGTCAGAGTCCACAGCAGCGTTTGGGTCTGCCCCACACCTCAGCAGCTCAGAGACGGTGCCCTCTTGGCTGTAGCGCACCGCCAAGTGCAGAGGCGTCCAACCCAGGCTGCCCGTGGCGTTCACCTGGGCGTGGCTGTCCACCAGGAGGCGGATGATTTCCACGTGGCCCTTCAAGGATGCCAGGTGCAATGGCGTCCACCCTTTGTCCGTCACAAGGTCCACACTGGCTCCGTATCGTATCAGCATTTCGCAGATGAGGAATTTCCCTTTCGATACGGCCAGATGTAAAGGGCTGCAAAGATTCTGGTCAAGACAGTCCACCGCGGTGCCGTTCTTCAGGAGGTACTGAACCACCCTGAATTTCCCTCTCTCCACGGCCACGTGAAGTGGGGTCCGGTGGTTCTTCTGCCTCTTCTCCACGTCTGCTCCTTGGTTGGCCAGCATCTTCACCAGCTTGACTTGCCCATAATAAGCAGCCACGTGCAACGCCGTCCGCCCTTCACTCTCCTGGACGTTTGGGTCGGCTCGGCGTGAGAGGAGGACCCGGACGACGCTTTCAAAGTTGTTCTGAGAGGCCAAGTGAAGGGGCGTCCACCCGTCGAGTTCTCGGGCATCCACGTCCGCCTTGTGGTCGAGCAGCAGGCGGGCGATCCTGTCGTCCCCGTTCTGTGCGACAAAGTGGAGAGGGGTCCAGCCATCATTGTCAGGCAGGCCGGCATCCGCGCCGTGCTTGAGGAGGAGAGAGACCATCTCCAAAGACTGCTTCTGGACGGCCAAGATGAGGGTGGTGTAGCCGGAGGGGCTCTTCTGGTTCACATCCGCTCCCTGCCTCAAGAAGGCCACCACCTTCTCCGGGTTCCCTTCCATGGCCAGGCGGTGGAGCAAGCCAGGGCCATTTTCGTGGCTCTCGCTGGCTTCCTCGGACATGGCAAAGGATTCCAGGCTTTTGGCTTCGTTCTGAAGGGAGCTGTAGAAGTGGTCCTTGTCGTTTTCGCCATCTGAAAAAGCATTTGAAGAGGCTGAGCTGCACAAGGATATTATAGCTTTGGAAAAAGTGCAGAAAAGGGCAACTTGAATGATAAAAGGGTTGGAACAGTTTCACTATGAGGAAAGGTTAAGGCGCTTAGGGCTCTTTAGCTTGGAGAAACGACGACTGAGGGGTGACATGATCGAGGTTTATAAGATTATGCATGGGAAAGAGCAGGTAGAGAAAGAGGTACTTTTCTCCCTTTCTCACAATATAAGAACTCGTGGGCACTCTATGAAACTGCTGAGCGGTCAGGTTACAATGGATAAAAGGAAGTACTTCTTCACCCAAAGAGTGATTAACACTTGGAATTCACTGCCACAGGAAGTGGTGGCGGCTACAAGCATGGACGGCTTCAAAAGGGAATTAGATAAGCATATGGAGCAGAGGTCCATCAGTGGCTATGAGCCACAAGGTATAGATAGGGGCTCTGGGGCAAGTGATGGTCTTTAGTCTTGGTGCTTGGGGGGGTCAACAGTGGGAGGGCTTCTAGTGTCCTGGCCCCACTGGTGGACCTCCTGATGGCACTGGTGTTTCTGGCCACTGTGTGACACACAGAGTGTTGGGCTGGATGGGCCTTTGGCCTGATCCAACATTGGCGTCTCTTATGTTCTTATGTTCTTACAAGTGAGGCAAGGTGGTAGGGATAGGGTTGCCAGCCTCCAGGGGGGAACTGGAGATCTCCTGGGATTGCCACTGATCTCCAGGTGGCAGAGATCAGTTTGCCTGGAGGACATGGCCACTTTGGAAGGTGGACTCTGTGGCATTATACACCACTGAAGTCCCGCCCGGCTCTGCCCCAAACTTTGCCCTATCCAGGCTCTAATCCCCAAATCTCCAGGTGTTTCCCAACCCGGGGCTGGCAACTGTCAAGTCTCAGGGACCTTCATTCTCATGTCAGATCTGGATGATTCCACACTAGACCTTCAATCCCGGCTCAACCCTGCCCCCGGATCTTAGATTCTACACTCCATGTGAGTTCAACCCTGTAATTATCTCGGGGTATTCTTTGTAAAAAGGATATTATAGCTTTGGAAAAAGTGCAGAAAAGGGCAACTTGAATGATAAAAGGGTTGGAACACTTTCACTATGAGGAAAGGTTAAGGCGCTTAGGGCTCTTTAGCTTGGAGAAACGACGACTGAGGGGTGACATGATTGAGGTTTATAAGATTATGCATGGGAAAGAGCAGGTAGAGAAAGAGGTACTTTTCTCCCTTTCTCACAGTACAAGAACTCGTGGGCACTCCATGAAATTGCTGAGCGGTCAGGTTAGAACAGATAAAAGGAAGTACTTCTTCACCCAAAGAGTGATTAACACTTGGAATTCACTGCCCCAGGAAGTGGTGGCGGCTACAAGCATGGACGGCTTCAAAAGGGAATTAGATAAGCATATGGAGCAGAGGTCCATCAGTGGCTATTAGCCACAAGGTATAGATAGGGACTCTGGGGCAAGTGATGCTCTGTCATCTTGGTGCTTGGGGGGGTCAACAGTGGGAGGGCTTCTAATGTCCTGGCCCCACTGGTGGACCTCCTGATGGCACCTGGTATTTTTGGCCACTGTGTGATACAGAGTGTTGGACTGGATGGGCCTTTGGCCTGATCCAACATTGGCATCTCTTATGTTCTTATGTTCTTATGTTTCCACACTGCATTGAGGTCACCCCGGTTTTGCCCCACACTTGTCCCAGGATAAACAGATGCTGTTATAACCAGGCATAAATGCAAGGTCTTGTGGCGTGAGTTGAACTCTGATAAAACCAAAGGTGAGATCCAAGTGTGGAAAGGACCTCTACCGGCTTATAGTTCTACTTTCGGCCACAACGGACCAATTATCTCTGACACTTCAACTGCCTCACCCTTCCCCAGCCCAGAGAGCTACGCTACCAACCTGGCCAGAAATACAGAGCCCTCCATATAACTAAGGCTGCCCCACAAGCAGTATTCCCTCTAAGCTGAGTTAGTGTGAGCTAGCTCACAGTTTTTTAGCTTCCAGCTCACACATTTTTGCCTTAGCTCAGGAAGGATGGCTCCAGAGCGAACTAATGTATGCAGTAGCCAAATCACTCACTCACAACTTTAATGTCAATAGCTCACAAAGTAGAATATTTGCTCACAAGACTCCACAGCTTAGAGGGAACACTGGCCACAAGGTCTGTCTCTCTGTGCTTCCGTCTTGTTCATGGGTTGTAACCTCACAGCCAATCAACTGAGATTTCTGGCTCTGACTTTTCCTCACCAGAACTGTCTCGCCCATTCTGACTGGACCAACTTTCTTTCTGAGAGTGCTTCCTCTCCCTATCAGCCGTCCACCAATCTGGAATCTGATCCTGGAATGAACTTCTGAACCATCATCAATTCATGCTGGAATCCCCCCGCCACACACCTACACGCAGAGAACTTGATTCTGTCAAGTAGAGTCAGAATCAGTGAGAATCATAGAGTTGGAAGGAACCTCCAGGGTCTAGTACAACCCCCTGCACAATGCAAGAAATTCACAAATACCTCCCCCTCCACACCCCCAGTGACCCCTGCTCCATGACCAGAAGAAGACAAAAAAACCTCCAGGATCCCTGGTCAAACTGACCTGGAGAAAAATTGCTGCCTGTCCCCAATGTGGCGATCAGCAGGGGTCATTTCCTGCGGGAGCGCACAGGAGCGGAGCTCCGGCAGTAAGGAGCCCAGGGGGCGGGGCACATGCAACAAGCCCCACCCCTGCTCTCAGCAGCCCTCAGTCGGGCCACGAGGAGCAAGAAGCAGCCAGGTAAGTTGCAGAGCCCCCCCCCCATCCCACCTTCAGTTACAAGCTCTCCCTCCTCTGTGAGGACAGATCTGCACGTCCCCGTCCCCCCCCCAATAAGCTAGCAATCCAAAACAGTCCAGTGGAGCCTGAGCGGTGGGTGTTGCTTTCTGACACACTTCCGGTGATGTCAGGGGGTGTGGCACATGTAAATAAGTTATGCGAAGGAGTTATGCTAATGAGCTCCTACACCTCTTTTTCTACGAAAGGACCCCTGGCAATCAGCATTTCCTTGGGTGTATAAGAAAGGGCCACAAGAACTAAGCACTGAGGCAACCCTTCCTGCCCTCCCTCTCATAGTCTGCCTAAATAATAAACTGGCTCAAAGCTCTGGAGTGGGAAATCCCTAGGGGTTTGAGGGTGGAGCCTAGTTTGGGGTCAGGAGAGACCTCAGCAGGGTATAATCCCAGGGTGTAGGGTTCCCGACCTCCAGGTGGGGCCTAGAGATCTCCAGTTGTTACAAGGGACCTCCAGACAATAGAGATCCGTTTCCTGGAAAAAATGGCTGCTTTGGAGGATGAGCTCTGCCGCGTTATACCCCCACACACACACCCTAAACCCTGTCCTCACCAGACTCCACCCTCAAAATCTCCAGGTGTTTCCCAACCCGGCGCTATCCTGTCTTCCAAAGTGGCCATTTCCTTCAGGGAAACGGATGTCTGCCTGGGAATCAGTTGTCATTCTGGGAGATCTGCAGCCATCTCACCCAGAGGTCAAAGCCAAAAATGAGAGATCACGGGAGGAAATTGTGATGTATTCAATAAGCTGCCATTGAATGCATAATGTGTTATGAAAAACGTCTAGCAAAAATGCTATGTTAAGCTTCGTCCTGGGCTAGGATCCAAATACATCCAATAACATCGCTAGCCCAGGAAGCACCTAACCAATCACTTCTCAGCAAGCTCCCTGAGCGGGAACGTCCGTGATTGGTCCTTATGCATGCAACCTTATTGGTTGGTATTTGTACAGTAGGTGTGGCTACATTGGCCGGGAGAGTTTAAAAGCAGGACAGCTGCAATGTAAAAGCTGTTCTGGCTATCAGGTGTTGATCCGTGTTGGAGTTGTGTTATGAGTTGCTGAATAAAGCTGAATCTTTGCTGAATCACTCTCTGACTACTTTGTTAAGCGAGCGACTTAACAGAAGTGGAAATCCAAACACAACATCCATGACGAAAATAACAAAGCGTCAATAAAGACATGTTTGCAAAATCTTTTACTACAGTAAATGATTTTGCAAACATCTTTATTGAGTCTTCGTTATTTTCATCGCAGATGTTGTGTTTGGATTTCCACCGCCTGGAGGTTGGCATCCATACTGTTGAGGCATCCTGTCTGTTTCAGTCAACTAACAGGCGACTGGGGAAATTCTTTTTAATTGGCCCCACCTTCATTGTCTGAGCAGAGTTTCCAAGTTTCACAAGAAAGTGACATTTTAAAGCCTTCTGCCCACTGCGGTGTCTCCACCATGGTCACAAGGTCCCCCAAAAAACATTTTTTGAGTCCACTGAACTGCCAACACACTTGAGATTGTCCGGAAGGAATGACACTCACCGCTGCTGCTCATTCCCTGAGAGAGGGAAAATCCGTCTTTGTCGCTCTGATGGTTGATTGGACATGGAAAAGAACATGGATGCTGTTAGCAATAGGAAATAAATTATCCGTGTAACACTATCAAGATGGAGTTGCCCCTTAGAACAGGGGTCCTCAACCTTTTTGAGCCTGCCGGCGCCTTCGAAATTCTGACCTGGCATGTTGGGCATAAGCCACAAAATGGCTGCCACAGCTTACCTGCAGCCACACAGTGAAGCCCCCTGTCCTGTAGTGGCAGCTGCTGCCTAAGCAATGTTCTAAAAAATCTGCACAGCCAACCAGTGCTCCCTCCACGCCGTGGAGTCTCGTGAGCAAAAATTCCACTTTGTGAGCTACTGGCATGAAAGCTGTGAGTGAGCAATTTGGCATTTGCTCTGGAGACATCCTTCCTGAGCTAAGGCAAAAATGTGTGAGCCGGAGGCTAAAAAACTGGCAGCTAGCTCACACTAACTCAGCTTAGAGAGAACACTGCAGTCAATCAAACTTCCAGTGGCCCATCAGAAGCAGAGCTTGGCAAAAGCCTCACTTGGCCCCACCCACTCTCTAAAAACACTTGGCCGGGGCTAGGAAAGGTGTCTAGGGGGTTGTCACGGCATCTCTGGGCATCGTGTTGGGGACCCCTCCATCTTAGAACCTTGAATCTCACAGCTGACCTTGCAGTGGTGATCTTTCTGAATATATAATGCCATGGATGTGTAATTCCTGCAGTTCAAATCCAAGGGGGAAGAAATCCTTGCACTTATTTCTAGGGTTGCCAAGTTGATCTTCGCCATACGGCTGTGGCCCCACCCCCAGCGTGCCCAGCGTCCTCCCGTCACTTCCGGGTGACGCGCACGTCGGGGAGGAGTTGCCCCCGGGGCCTGATCCAGCAGTGCCAGGGAACGGGCCTCTGGGGCGGGGGTTTCCCCGCCCCCCGGGGGGACTTGGGATCCCTACTTATTTCAGGAGTTCTAAAACAGTGTGGCTTCCCCCTTACCTCTCTGCCCGCAGAGAAGCCGGGCCTCATTGATGTCTTTCTGGAGAGGTGCTCCTTCTTCAGGTCAGCCACGGGGCTTTGGAGTAACGATAGTAACATGTCCATCTCCATTGAGATAGCTAAGCAAGCGGGAAAGCACTGTTACAGCAGAGAGGTGTACAAGAACCATTCCCCCATCTTTCTGACTAGCACTTCAAGGGCAGTAGCACCTAAGAGACCAACAAGATTTTCAGGGGTATAAGATTTCAAGAATCAAAGCTCCCTTTATCAGATTTGATGAAGGGAGCTTTGGCTTTTGAAAGCTTGTAATGCTCCCTCTAAGCCGTGGAGTCTTGTGAGCAAAAAATTCTACTTTGTGTGCTACCGGCATTGAAGTTGTGGGCGAACGATTTGGCTGCTGCAAAAACGAGTTTGCTCTGGAGCCCTCCTTCCTGAGCGAAGACAAAAATGTGTGCGCCAGAGGCTAAAAAACTGTGAGCTAGCTCACACTAGCTCAGCTTAGAGGGAACACTGCTTGTACCCTGAAGATCTTCTGGTTGTACTGGACTCCGTCTCAAATCTGGACTCAAATCTAGCTCTTCAACAACAGACCAACACGGCTACGCTCCAAAACTATTTAAAGGGCAGTTAAAACGCTGTGGTTAAGATGCTGAACTGCAGGCTGTGGAAGGTCGGTAGTTCAGCAGTTCGAGACCCGAGTGTGCCGCATGACGGAGTGAGCTCCTGTCTCTAGTTCCAGCTCCTGCCAACCTAGCAGTTTGAAAGCAAGAAATTGCAAGTAGATAAATAAGTACCACTTCGGTGGGAAGGTACCAGCGTTCCGTGCGCCTTGGTGTTTAGTCATGCCGGGCACATGACCACGGAAACGTCTTCGGACAGCGCTGGCTCTTCGGCTTTGAAACAAAGATGAGCACCGCAACCCTAGAGTCGGACTCGACTGGCTTTCGAGCAAGGGAACCTTTACCTATCTTAACCTAGTGAGAATTATTTCGATCTGGAATTCTGGTCCACACAACTATAGATGACCCAGTCAAGGTGTTTAGATGACGTTAATCCACATTGTCGGTAGCTAACTGGGCAATAGTTTTGCGAGGGAATCTCTTTGGCTACTGAACCTGTGAAGCTCGGCCTCCTCTTGGGCTCCTGGTCCCAGCATCTCTTCATCAGGTCGACCATCTGCTGGTGTTCTCCTGGGCCATCGTTGTCACAGATGAAATCCAGGCAGGGACGCTTCCCTGCAGCCAGGCCCATGACAATGGTCACCATGCTGGCCTCTGCAAAAGAGGCTGACTTTAAGCATCTGTAATATATCTTTCTTACCCGACCACCAAGGTTTCTGGGATGGGGGTTCTATAATAATCTCTGGCTCTCGTTTTCTTTTTTTTTTTTAAAGAAAACATTATAAATATCAGTCTCCTCCTTATCTTGAAGAGGCAACAGTCATTCTAAACCACAAAAGGTTAAAATCTTACAGACAAAAATACAAAGAAATGTTAGAGCACTGAACACTTTAAATGTAAATGCCTTATCGGTTCTTGGTGCTTTATCAGTGCTTTATCTTAGTGCCTTGTCAGTACTTAGTTCCAAGGCAGTCCCCAATCAATGACAGCAGAGTCAAAGTCCCTCCCTTTACATGGAGCCGATCCTTCTACTGGAACAAAGACGGTTCCTATACACACCAGACATCCATGGTGACACCGGACCAAGCTTCAGTCTCTGGACTGGAATGGGGAAAGGGAGAAGTCGTCCTACGATTTCTCAGCAAAGCGGCCAGGTTTGGACTTTGTGAAACGCCAGGGTGAAGGAATTGCAAAGCTGGGAAGCAGCTCTCTCTCTCTCTCTCTCTCTCTCTCTCCTTCTCTACCCCCCCTCTTTTTAAAAAAGCAAACCCCCTGAGCTCTCTGTTTTCATTTGATGGATGGAGAACGAGATTCAGATTGTAGCTTCCATAATGGAGTCTAGGGAGACTGCACTCTCTTAAGTGTGTGTGTGTGTGTGTGTGTGTGTGTGTGTGTGTGTGTGTGTGTGTGTGAAGTGCAGTGAAGTCGCAGGTGACTTAACGGTTACCCCGCATGGAGTTCTCATGGCAAAAGACAAACAGAGGTGGTTCATCACTGCCTGCCTCTACATAGCAACCCTAGACTTCTTTGGTCACCGACCCTGCTTAGCTTCTGAGATCTGATTAAATTGGTCTAGCCTGGGCTGGGGGTCCATTGCTTGATTGGTTCCTGTTATTCGTAAAGACATATACGACCCAACAGCATTGGAGAGAACCCCTACAACGTTTACTCCTTTTGCAGCTTTTACTCCTCCCTGCCCATAAATACATGAACCTCAGTTGCCGAAATCCACCCTCTTTGAAACGCTGGAAAGAGGAGTTTGCATCAGCATTACCTGCGTAGGCTTTCTTCTGGGTTAGGATCTCCCACATGACAATTCCAAAGCTTGAAGAGAAAAAAACAAAAGCCCAAAGGTTATAGACTCAGTACTCAGGGGGTTTAAACCAAGCTGGAATCGGGGAAGCGTAAAATACGATCCTGTGAATGAAGGCGAGAAATTGCAAGCAAGGCTCCGGAACTGTAGGAGAGCTGATAGACTCCCCCCCCCTCCCCGTGTATGGCTGCTGCCCAGTCAAAAAAGCAAGATGGTAACAGGAAGCTGCTTCTGCTGGATCAGACCACTGGTCCCTCAAAGGAAGTGCTGCCCAGGGTCTCAGACCGAGGTCTTTTCCACCACCTGCCACCTGATCCTTTTAAATGGAGGGGGGGGTTGACCTCCTGCATGTCAAGCAGATGCTCTGCCACCGTGCCACAGTCCCTCCCCAGAACACCTGAAACTGTCTTTGATTCACAAATCAGTGCCCCGTGTGCCCCCAGGGCCGAATAAGGAACACACGGTTTGAGTCCAGGGAGTGGATAAATATCTGTTTATTGCAATAATCAGGAGGATACAGGACTGGATACCTTGGCACCCAGTAACACCAAGCTGTATTCTGCCCCAACCAGGAAGGGCAATAGGTCCTATACCCCAAATGATATCATTACAGTTTATAATTAAGAAATCTTTAATTGGGGTCCAACAGGTCTCGTCATCAAAGCATCAATTGAACTGGCACTTCTCTATCGGCAAGCCCCTATCTGGATCAGAATTACAAGCCTTCATGTTTTCTTATCTGGTCATGGAAGACAGGGGGGGGGCTTTTGGGAACAATGAGGTCTTTTTGTGGGCATCATTCCTGGCTTATTTGCTTCAGCCTGGAGCGAGGGAGCTTTCTGATAAGGCCCATGAAACTTAGCTCTGGGCAGACTCAGTAGGGCCAGGGGCTCTATTCTACAACGAAAGTTATTTGTTTAGAGAACACTAACTTCCAGGGCTATTTTGGGGCAGGAACGCACAGGAATGGAGTTCCGGCTGGCTTCCAAGTTGGCCACACCCAGCAGGAACTCATTAGCATAAAAGGCCACACCCAACAGCAGAAAATCATTAGGATTGGCTACATTCGGGGTGTATGGCCTAACATGCAAAGGAGTTCCTGCTACAAAAAAGGCCCTGGGTTTTGACAACAAACAAGGTAAACAGAATAACAAGCAAAAGGTGGGTGTGGCTGGATGACCACACATCTGGCAACTTGGGGGTGCGGCCTAATGTGCCAATGAGCTGTGCTGTTAGGGATGTGGCCTAATATGCTAATATGTTTCTGCTATTGGGTGTGGCCTATTATGCTATTAAGTTCCTGCTGGGCTTTTTCCACAAAAAAAAGCCCTGCTAACTTCACTTCTCAAGTGTCCTTCAGCCGAGGAACTTGTAATTTCAAAACACACATTCCATTCCACTATTTTCTGAATCTATCTAAAAGAACCTTTGACGATTAAAAAAAAAAAATACTCTGATTACTTCTATTCTAAATCTCTCCTGCTTGGGCTAAATACTAAAAATCAAACTCTTAATAAGAAAGACAATGACGGCTGGCATTGTACATGTCAAGAGAAATGTCAGAAATCACAATCATAAATCACATTCACCGGTCCCTTGTCCTACACCTTCTACTGAATCAGACCACTGGTCCATCGATGTCAGTATTGCCTGCTCAGGGCAGCAGCAGCTCCCCAAGGTCTCAGGCAGAGGTCTTTCCCATCACCTACCGACTGATGCTTTCAACTGGAGATGCTGCCGGGGATTGAACTGGGGGGCGGGGCTTCTTCATGCCAAGCAGATGCTCTTCCACTGAGCCATGACCCCTCCCAAGTTCCTTACCTGTAGACATCACATTTGGTTCCAGGTGGGGTGGTGCTCTGCAGAAGTATCTCAGGGGCAACGTAGCCCAAGGAGCCGCTCAGGGCAGACCTCTCGATGTATGGCATCCCGCTTGATACCTCCATCCACTTGAACAATCCAAAATCTGAAACCTGAGGTCAGGGCAGAATTACAGCTTCAGTCGTCATGCCCTCTACTGCCACAATCCTATGTTCTTGTTGAGCACGTTACCCAAATGTATCTTCAGGGCCACAGGGCTATTTTTTTCACACTTGGGGGTGTCCTTGCGAAAAGTACTGAGAAACGTGGAGTGATTTCAGCAAAGTACTTTTATTCAGCTGGAACAAGACAAGGACAGCCGGCTCGCAGGCCGGTATATATGCACAGAAACCCTTCACCCAAACACACACACCCCCTACTACCCTATAGGCTATTTACAGTAGCCGAGAGTCCCATAGGCTCTCGGCTGCGGACCTGGCCCTCTGATAGGTGCGGGCTAGGATCCGCTTGGCTATTGTTCTATCGGAGCGAAGCTTCAGGGCTTTGCTTGACCGCATGGCCCAACGGTCGCGCACGTGGTAATGGCGGAGTACATTACACCTTGGTTCTGAGCTGGAATACATGAATGAGGAGGATGCTTTCTATGAAACTGGCTGGGATTTGGTAGGAACTGGGTATATTTCCAGTATTTGTAATATAAAACATTGCACATGTTAGTGCTTGTGTTCAAGGAGCAAAACATTTTTAAAGATCTTCTTCTTGTTAAATTTCAAATCAATAAAATCCAACATTAATGTGCATAATTAAATCCTGGACATACATATTGAAGTGAACGTTATTTTTAAAATGTTATCTGTAATTTGCAAAATGTAAGGAAGGAAGGAAGGAAGGAAGGAAGGAAGGAAGGAAGGAAGGAAGATTAAGAAGTGGATTATTATTTCCATTTATTATTTTTGAATTATAGCCCGCCTTTCCTGCACAGGCAGTGGATGTTGTTCTCGGCTTATGAACTTCTCTTGGACACTTACTTCAGTATGGTATAATGGTCAGAGTGTCAGGCCAGGACCAAAGAGACATAAAAACATAAGAGAAGCCATTTTAGATCAGGCCAATGGCCCATCCAGTCCAATACTTTACAGCTAATAGCCACTGACGAACCTCTGCTTCGTATCTTCATCCAGTTCCCTCTTGAAGCTGTCCGTGCTTGTAGCCGCCACCACTTCCTGAGGCAGTGGATTCCATGTGTTAATTACTCTTTGGGTGAAGAAGTACATAAGACCTGGGTTCAAATCCTCTCTCAGCCATGATGTTCACTTGGTGACTAACTCACCACACAAGGTTCTTGTGAGAATAAACCAGAACCAAACAACCAAACAACCTATTCCAAATGTGGTGCTCTACCACTGAGCAGTGCCTATCTTGCCACCGCTTGGGGTTTGCTTCACGTGAACACTACTAAGATGGAAGTTTCATGGCGAGGAGGACTCTCCCCAGAGGTGAAAAATATGGTGGTGAAATGTTTCTGGCCTCCCATAGGATCATTTGGAATCCAATCACGTAAGGGGCATTTCACATGACTTTACTAGATGACTGTTGATAGGCGGCAGGAAATCAACCTGTCTCAGAAAGAATCAGGTGACTGTTGCTGCAGCTTATGCCTCCCAAATGTCTGCTCAAGACTGAAAAGAGCTTGAATTCTTCTCCCTTTATTTTCAACCCTTTTATATGACCGTTTCCCGAATACTGTTGTTCAGTGTTTCCAATGCAAAAATAAACAGTAGAGGTTATAGTGGACAACCCTGTCTCGATCCTTTACAAATTTCTATATTACTGGTGGCATCTCCATTTAGCATATTGTTTTTTGTAAATGGCTTTAATCATAGTTAGAAAATACTGACCACATTCTGCTTTATCTAACTTCTGCAGTAAGAAATCCCGTGACAGGTTATCAAAAGCTTTCTCTGCGTCGAGAAACATTAGAACCAACTCTTTCTCAGGACAATAAAGTCACTCGCCTGTTTCAGCCAATATTGTTTCACCTGATTGGCAGCAGTTGTGAGGGGCAACAGGTCGCTAAAGTGTCAGTCAGAGACTCTTCCCCAACTATAGTTACCAAACTCCAGGTGGTGGCTGGAGATTTCCTGGGATGACAACTGATCTCCGGACTGCAGAGATCAACTCCCCTGGAGAGGGAGGACTCTATGGCATTAAACCCTGCTAAGATCCTTCCCTTCCCCAAACCCCGCCCTTCCACAGGCTCCACCCCCAAATCTCCAGGAATTTCCTAACCCAGAGTTGGCAACCTTATTCTCAGCTACGTTATTTGAAATCCTCTAAACTGGAGTCACCAGCTGGGACCTTCCACCTGCAAAACCTGCATTCCGCCTCTGAGCTAAGACGCCTTGTGTTCGTCCTGCTGTTCAAAGCACCCTCACCTTGACGTGCATGTGGGCATCCAGCAGAATATTTCCTGGCTTCAGGTCCAGGTGAAGCAAAGGTGGCTTCAGACTGTGCAAGAAATTCATGGCCAAGCTCGTCTCGTGGATGATGCGGGACTTCAGCTGCCACGTCATTTGGTGGGTGGCGAGAGTCTTCTCCAAGGAACCACTGGCCATGTGCTCCATCACCATCCCCACTGGACTGTCGCAGATGCCGTAGACAGAGACGATGTGCTGGAATTTGACTCTCTCCATCTTGGCTGCCTCCTCACTAAGAATGTCTAAGGTGGGCCTGCAAAGGTAAAGTTGAAGTGACAAAACATCGCCCACCCCAAAACATCATTCTTGATGAAATGTCCCCAGAGATGTTTGTCCGGCAATGTTTTTTGCCATCTTTGGGGCACCGGGCAATGGCTGTCCTGTTTACCTGAGCATTTGGTGCTGAAGTCTATGTGAGTCATCATACGGTGCCAGCTAGGCCACTGTAATAGGTGGTGGAAGGGGGAGATGCTGATGGATAGTCTGTTGCTATAATGGAATCTTAGCTTTCATTTTCTTTCTGTCTCATCTTATCTGCTAGCCTAGGCCGGTGACCTTGGCACCTTGCTGCAGCTTTCACTGGGAACGCAAACCTGTTAGCTTAGGTGGGCTTTAGCTTACTCTAGGGGTCATTTCCTGCAGGAGTGCACAGGAGCGGAGCTCTGGCAGTAAAGAGCCCAGGGGGCGGGCACATGCAACAAGCCACACCCCCTGCTCCCAGCAGCCCTCACTCAGAGCAAGAAACAGCCAGGTAAGTTAGCTCGCGGCCCAAAACAGTCCAGTGTCACCTTTAAGACCAAGTTTTATTCAGCTACAAGCTCTCCCTCCTCTGCGAGGACAAATCTCCACGTCCCCCCCCCAAGAGCTAGCAATCCAAAACAGTCCAGTGGGGCCTGAGCGGTAGGTGTTGCCTTCTGACACTCTTCCGGTGATGTCAGGGGGTGTGGCATATGCAAAACGGTTTATGCTAACGAGTTATGCTAATGAGCTCCTGCACCTCTTTTTCTACGAAATGACCCCTGGCTTACTCCCTGATTGGCTCAGACCCATCAGGGGGACCCCTTCGAATTTTGTATAGCTCCCCATTGCGCCCACTTACAATCAGTTTTGACACAGAATGTATGCACAGATGACCTACCTTTACTGTACTCAAGAAACATGAACCTTCTGAAGGACAGTTGTTGCTGCGGGACTCTGACATACAGAGTTCCTATTTTTAACTTTGGGGTAAGCCAAAAGGCACTGGAGCCAGGGCTTTTTTTGTAGAAAAAGCCCAGCAGGAACTCATTAGCATAATAGGCCACACCCAACAGCAGGAACTCATTAGCATATTAGGCCACACCCCTGACAGCACAGCTCATTCACATATTAGGCCACACCCCCATGTTACCAGAAGTGTGGTCATCCAGCCACACCCACCTTTTGCTTCTTATTCTCTTTACCTTTGTTGTCAAAACCCAGGGCTTTTTGCATGTTAGGCCACACACCCCTAATTGTAGCCAATCTGAATGAGTTCCTGCTGTTGGGTGTGGCCTATTATGCTAATGAGTTCCTGCTGGGCGTGGCCAACTTGGGAGCCAGCCAGAACTCCGTTCCTGTGCGTTCCTGCCCAAAAATAGCCCTGACTGGAGCATATTTACATCACTGGCATTCCCCCTTGGCTACCAGCACTCGTGGGGGTGGGTGGAATTGGATTGCCAGCTCCAAGCTGGGAAACTCCTGGGGATTTGAGGGTGGAGCCTGGGGGGACAGGGACCTCAGTGGGGTACAATGCCATAGGATCCACCCTCCAAAGCATCCATTTTCTCCAGGGCAACTGATCTCTACAATCTAGAGAGGAGCTCAATTCTGGGAGATCCCCAGCTTCCAACTGGAGGCTGGCCACCCTACTCCCACTGGTTGGTTGGTTTAGGCACTTCCTATCAAAAACAGATGACATAAACATGTGGATTACTGAGTAGGACGAGGACTCCTGTGCATAGCATGAAGCAACTTGTGTGTTGTTTGGATCCTTTGCCTGTTCTGGCGGCCCCGAAGGCTGCTGGTTCTGCTTTCTGTTCCTGAACTCGTCCGACCAGTCGGAGCGGCTGAATTCATGCGAGGTTGCCAAGCGATTTGGCTTGAGGCATTCTTCTCCAGGGCCTTGGAGGCGGGCCTGCTCCTTTGCATCTACTTACTGCTGAAGATCAGCCCTTTCTTTCCTTCAGCCAAGCGGGGCCGTCAATCAGACCCCCAAGTTAAGCTCACCCAAGGAAGGATCGGAAAGGGACATTTGGCCAGCAGTTGCCAACCTCCAGGTGGAGTCTGAAGTTCTCCCAGAGTTATTACTGATCTCCAGACTCCAGAGATCAATTCTCCTGAAGGAAACGGCAGCTTCAGAGGGGAAACTCTACCATATCCCGAGGTGAAATCCCTCCTCACGTTCCCCTTCCACAGGCAACGCTCCCAAATCCTGAGGAATTTCCTTTGCTGGAGTTGGCAATCCTGCATTTGGCACGACTCCCCTTCCTGAAGATACGCTCTTCTACGGCAACCAAGTAGACATTACCTGTCAAAGGTGGGACCGGGTTGCAGGCCAGGGAAGCATTTCACCACGTAGACGGTCCTCCATCTCTTGTGCCTCACCCGGAAGACTTGGCCAAAGTCTCCTCTGGCCAGCGGGAGCCAGTCCTCTTCAAAGTCTCCCTTGCTGAACATGGCCGAAGGGCCCGTGGCCCCAGACCACACACACAGGGAGGGTGCCGCTCCCTCCTGGCTGCCCCTGTCCCTTTCTCCCGCTCCTGCCCATCCGGAGATCTGAAGTCAGACCAGACGGGAAAGAGGTCCTCGTTCTCGAGCAGGAAGGGCGGGAGGAGCCGGCACCTCTGCCGGGCATCCTGCCAAGGGGCGGGTCTCCAAAGTGGCAATTATCTGTCTGCCAGAGGAGATCACCTCTGAGCAGCTGAGGTGCCACCTGGGGAGGGCCAGGCTTGGGGACAGACGTCCCGGCTTAGCAAGTCAGGGCTATAGCTAGAAAGGGGTGAGTCCTGCCTTCATTCCTCTGTTTCCATCACATCAGCATATTCTGGGCACTGCAGTTCCCAGAAACGGAAGAAGAAGAAGAAGAAGAAGAAGAAGAAGAAGAAGAAGAAGAAGAAGAAGAAGAAGAAGAAGAAGAAGAAGAAGAAGAAGAAGAAGAAGAA